TAAATATTCGACAGAATACCTGTAATGTTCAATTCATAAAAAGAGTTGGATTAGGCAGATTTATATTTTATTCCTAACATTTTCCAATTACTATTTATCTTTCACCATTATAATTATCATTCAATCTTAAAAAAATGTATAAGACAGCTTATTACACACACAATAAACATAATTTTATACAAAGCTTGCTTTATCTTAATTAGGGTTCTGTATAAAACAAACGATAATTGGAACATATTTCTTTAAAAAAAAAAAGTTTTTCATGCTTTTTAACTTAACAAAAAAGAGAAAAATAAACATGATTTCTTTAAAAAAATTAAAGCTATCAAGAAACTTCTTTCATAGAATTACCTACATTTTTGATATATCAAGTAAAATTGTATGCTGGATTAAAAAATAGAAATAAAAATATATGTTGACGTGTCAGTTTTATTGTAAACGGGCAGTTTCCATGGTTACCGCATATGCCAAATGTCAAAATTACCACGCTTTCTTAAGAAATATCAGTGTTTTACTAAATGTATTGTCATATATACAACAAAAACATGTTGTAATAAAAAATTCTTTTTCTTTTGATGTTATATTAAGTAAATGATACTGAATATGTTTTTAAAACAGGTTTTATAGGGCCATATTAATTATTTTTTCACTCGACTAACATTCCCGAACAGTAAGCAAGTATTTAGAAATTTACAAAGAAAATAATGAAATTCGAAACATTTCTTAAATATTATTTTTTATTCAACACTTCGTCGCCCTATTCTAAAAATGGTGTATCTACAATTTCCTCTTTTTTGGGAAAAAGGGGTTAAAGATTCAAGACTTTGTAACTTTTATTTAATAACTCTTAACAGTGTGGACTTCTGGATTGGTATTATCTATGTCAACATGTGATGAAAGGACTTTGTTATATACATTTACAATTTGCAGTAATTGAAAAAAAATGAAAAAATATTTGGAGATAGACCAAAAATGTTTATTTTTAGATAAAAAAATTACTCTAAAATTGAGTTTGCGGAGATATGACAAAGTAGGGCTAAAATTGTAGATACTTTTTGAGTTAGCATTTTTTAAGAGTAATAATTTTATAATAGAATATTAGAGCCCGTCTACACCTATCCAAGTCTTGAATGCAAGTATCATATTCTCTTGTATTGGATAGTGTAGACACCCTACTTGAATGAGTTTTAAAGAGAAATTATGTGACATCCAAGAAGATAATTCCTTGCAAGAAAGTTAGAACACGTTCTATTTTTCTACAAGTTTTTGGCTGTCAAGACACTGATAACACCGGTTTGACACAAAACATGTGCCCCGAAGGCGTGATAGTGTTGTTTTTCTATTATTTTCTGACTTTTTTGTTACTGATTCAGTGTTCATGATCTGTAAATTTTAATAAATGTATAAAATATCTTGGTCAGAGGATCATATCAATAAACTGATACACAGAAGAGCAAAAAAAATAAATAAGTTTTTCAAGTAGTCAAAATAGATTTTAAATGATTTTGTTCATTTAGTGAATAACTTTCATCAAATAAAGAACTTGCATCAATTTATCAGCTCAAAAAATATTTTTCTCACATTTTCCACTATTTTAAAAGAATTTACACATTTCAATTTCATTTACTCCATTGTCTTTAGCTAATTGCATCATTTTCCCGCTTTTTTATTCACATATTTTACAGAAACATGATAACATTGCAAAGACAAAGGTATAAATCCTGGACAATCTTAATTAGACATCCCAGTAAAAATTGTTCTTGATAAAATATTGAAAGGGCCATTTATTTACCTTATCTAAATGTGACATGTAAGAAACTTGAATAGATGTAGACACGGCCTTAGTAGATTTTTATATTCTAAAGAACATTTCCAGCCAGAGTGGTTGAACCGCTGACACTGAATCACTTTATCTTTGTAAATTACTATGTCAAAGTGTAAATTCATTCACGTGATCTCCAACTTGGGCCTTTCTCGATAATAACAATATAAAAGTGTGCCATAAAAAAAAGAAAAACAAACATTTCACAAAATTTTTAATCAATGAACTTGCTAAAACAAACTGACATATTTTGTACCATTATGAAAAATGAAATCATTGTAACCATCTAATATTGTGATTAAATGAATACATATCCAAATTATATTACCAACAACAATTTTTTTTTTAATTCACACAATTTAAGTCAATACCACATGCATTCAAAGTCTCAAGTATTGTTTGTGGTTTAATATCAACGTATGAAAAAATATCTGCTCAAGTTCTGTTCTTAACAATCTTTCAAGATTGCAAAATCGTCGTTTTCAAGATTTTACATCCAGTGAATTTTGCGATCTCCCATATTGGTGTTTGTCGCACAACGTAGATACTGGACATTCCATGAACAGGCTAATTCAAACCGAGCCGGCAACATTTTAGATCATGCCGTATTGTGCTTTAAGAATTCTGCTATTATCTAATAAATATAATCATTGATGACCCAGAGAACACTGAAACTCGCATGCAATTAAAATCTATGTTTGGACAAGACAGTGGTATTTCGATCCTATTGAAATGTTAAATATCTAAATCTTTTGTGAATATTTTAAGACTTGAAACAATGATTTATTTTAAACTGATGGCAAGTCAAAATTTCCCCACAGACTTGATGTTGTTGATATAAAATTCCATAGTTTTGTGGAAGTTCTGCTAACTCTAAGAGACAACATTTCTGTAAGGACAACGTCTGATAATATAAGTAAGTCTGACCTGAAATGGACATAATATTAGCACTAACAATTAAACAACAACAATGTTCGATACTCCAAATAGTTCCAAATAGTTCATACGAATATCCGAATATAGTTATCCGAAATTATGTGATTGTCAAATATAAAAGAATCCTAATACGATGAAACAAATACTAAAGCAAAATATAAATTCACTTATAAAACTTATAAAAGCTAAAATATATTACTTACATTCTTCAGAAATCATTTTTTAACTGTTACTTTCCTAGTTAGCTGGCTGATTTAGATACGATTGTTGTTGTTATCACTGGAGTTAGAACAATTATATTGTCAGGCCCCTTCAGGTCACATGACATATATTTTTCAACTTGATTGGCTGGCACGAAAGATTAGCCTAAAAGTGTTACATGTGTTGGTGATACGACGAAAAAAAGGCTAACAGCAAAGCTTTCCATTGGACATAGAACAAAATACAGACGCTATATCTACAAAAGTATGACGTAAATCTTTACATGTTTTGTTTTGGAGATAGAACAAACTAATACTAAAATAAATGTGCAGTTATCTCATTTTTGGTAAAAATGGAGTTAGGACATTTTTAGAATAAGGCGACGACTTTTAAAATATATCATTTTAAACTTATTTGCCCAGTTGTCTGCCAGTAATAAAGTGGCGACGCACTTTCGTCTATACCACAAGTGGGTGGGGTAACGCGCGCCGAATCATACTCAATGCTGTCGTACTAATGCTAGGAGAAATCCTTTATCTGATGTTGTCTAAACGACCTCTTATTCTTTTGAACCGATCTCCTCCTGAACATTTAGAAATATCTATTCTGTATTATTTACTCATTATTTGCTTATAGCCGAAATTTAAACACTTATCCGAGTACTATTCAACTTGACCTTCTTTTTGAAGAGTAATTATCCGTGATTATCTTTCTTGGAAGCGCATAACGATGCGCACAAAAAACTACCGAAAACGTCTTTAATTATTTTCAAATTAACAAAAACATAAATTTATAAAGTAACAAATAAAAACATTTATTTATTGACAGAATTCTTTAATATTTGATAGAATTATAAATTGAGAGATCTCCTACATTTTGGTGTAGTTAGGAGCCTATGTTTCCATGTATCTCCTTTCTAAGAGCCTCAACTGATAAAATATGTAAGATTTTCCTAAGTGGAGATTCTTTAATTTAAAATGGATTTTGTCGACACATTTCCCGTTAAGAATATACACGGTATTGCAACTTCATTCTTTGAACTTAAAGGTAATAATATCATATGATAAATTTTCACAGTGTTTGTGACATTTACATGTATATCATAATGATAAACAAAACATTTAATGTTTGTTGATAAATATTGTTTATATACGTGTCAAAATAATTCATAGTGATATAACTGAATTCACTTTTCTATATAACATATACATGGCACAACTAAAGTTTAAAAGAATGCAAATCTCATTTGATATACAGTGTTCCCTGTCGCTATGTCAAATAAAGTTGGTAATGAAACGCGTATTGCAGTTAAAAAATAAAGTATGAAATTCATTGGAACCATGATTACTGATTGTCAAGTTACGTTACCATGGTTGTCAGTTTTAAACAAATCACTTGTAACCTTCTGAATGATGGCCGTTATGGTAACAGACCTTTGACAACAGTAGGCAGTCTGAATTAGATTGCCCTTGTCTGTGTTAATAAGCGCCACTGGCTCACTCCAATATTTCGTAACCGAAAGATAAAGAAATTATGAATAACTGGTTATATCTAACTAATGTCTAAGGTGTAAAGCACGATACATAGGACCTAGGTCTTACTAAATTGTCAGCTGAGAACTTGTTATTAAATTTAGTTGCAATAGCTGGGGATCGAGCTGAAAATCCATATAGTATAACATTCACAGGCCAGGTTTTTTATCCGATGTCAAGAACTTAATGAGTGAACTTGAATGTTCAAACTATAAATGCAAAGAAAACTAGCGCCTGTGCAGGAAAAAGTATACTAGTACCTTCCGATTTCCTAAGGAATAGAGAAACTCGATATAATTATTAAAGTATCAATTACGGTATTATATTTATGTTGTAAATATACGAGAAGTCGTATAAATTCGAGATAGATATATCTGTCGGTACATCTTTTATAATTGATTAATATTAAATTATTTATTTATTATTTAAATATATATCAGTTTGATATTATAAATGCTGTGAAAAGTAGATAGTTCTATACAACGAATAGCATCCTACTTTCACTTGCCGTCATGGTAGAGCAGCTGTTCAAAACACGACATTGTTAATGTAGCTTTTAATGTACAAGTACATCAGTGCACGTGTTTCATTCTAAAACATTTTGTTTATATTAAAAAATAAATAATTCAAATCTTAAAACATGGAGTTGGAAAATGTCAACGGAAAAACTATCGCTGAAACAAATGGTTTAAGAGAAATGGAAACGCTTGTTAAAATGGAGGTTGGAAAACGAGCAAAATATTTGATTTACGGAATATCAAACGAAAATCCTCCAATTCAAGTGACGGTACTGTGTGCTTTACAGGTAAGATTAAATGGAATTATAGGAAATAAAAATGCTATTTAATTATTAACATGTATATAATAGAGACACCCGTTGATGATATTCTTTAAAAAGCATAAAAATATCGGAAGCAGTTAATTTTCCGTGATTTCCCGATTTCATCTTAGTGAACAATTTATTTCAATAATTATAAAAAAAAATTTTGTGTGTACCCGTTGACATTTTTGTAACCTATTTGAGATATCTTGATGTTTTTCTGTAATGATTCACAACCATTAAAATCTCAAATGACAGACATAAAGTTTGAGGAATTGGGTCAGGTCACCAGAAATTAAAGGTGTAATTTGATAATTTGACGATGTCGAAACTCAGATGGAAAAAAGACGATTCGCTTTATAAATTTATATGTATTCAACATTGCATATTATTCTATTTTGCGCAATATGCACACTCTCCGCGCTCCTGTTTGTTTGTTTGTTTGTTTTGGTTGGTTGGTTGGTTGGTTTGTTGGTCGGTCGGTCGGTCGGTCGGGCGGTTGGTTGGTTGGTCGGTTGGTTAGTTTTAACGCCTATCAAACAAACCTTTGGCTATATAAGACTCAATGTAAGAGTAGGAGAGATTTCTCCTCGTCTGAAGATCGAACCAGCAACCCCTAAATTGAAAATCCGATGCCCTCTATTGAACTGAGCGGGCGCACAAGATGGTCTTTGAACAAATTCATTTGTCAAACACATCAAATCAAACTGAGTCTGCAAGTTTCAACTTTACATAGCTTGCGTTGGATTTTTTTAGTGCCCCCACTTTAGTGGCGGGCATTTAGATTTACCCTTGTCCGTCCGTCATTCCGTCCATCCGTCCTTCTCTTTTGTGTCGCACGTAACTCTAAAAGTACTTGACCTAGAGTCATTAAACTTTACTGGAATGTTGATCAGCATGTGTAGTTGTGCAACTGGGTATTTTCGTGTGGATTTATACATATAATATTTTTAGAGTTATTTCCCTTGACTTAGTAAACTTTTGCAATTTTCAACTTGTGTCGCATGTAACTCAAAAAGGATTTGACATAGAGTCATTTAACCTTACGGGAAGGTTGCTTAGCATATGTCGTTGTGCACCTGGGGTTTCGCTTGTGGATTCATCCAGTATTTGTAGAGTTATTTCCCTTGACTTAGTAAAAACCGTTTCATTATGTTGTTATTTGTTCCTTCAGTGCTTAGTAAAAGATTTTTAGTTTTCAACTTGTGGCACATGTAGTCCAAAAATATTTGACCTAGAGTCATAAGATTGACAGAATAGTGGCGTGTGGGGGCACCCGTGTCCTATGGACACATTTCTAGTTTTTTTTTTGTTGACGGATCATGATTGCATTCAAAGATAATATTCATCCCCTCTACATGAGCAGATGTTGTTAAAACACTCAAGAGACATTAGTTTATAATAAAATCTTGCACGTGTAAATCATTACCTACTCTTAAAATCAAATTTAAGACAAATGTAATTAGAGTTTTTGAAATGCATAACTTAATTATCACATGTTAGATATACATGTATAAATAAGGCGTAAATTATTTCATTTGTGTAGATCGTGTCTTATGCAAGCTTAAATATTTTTTTTATTTTACAATATGTTTGCTTTATAAACCACTTTCTTAATTAAATAAAATTAATAACTAAAACAATTAATTAATAAACATAAGGAGGCGTTCAATGGCTTTAGAAAATTGTAACACAAAGAAGTCTTTCAGAAATATATAATTTTTAATTTCTGAAAACTGCAGGTCTACATTACGTGTTTGACTGTATTTTATATTGGCTATTCAATAATCACTTTATTAGCTATAGATACAATTTTAAAATCATTCGACCATTTGTATTTTCAAAACATTGTCATGCTGTGATTTCTATTCAATAATCAGTCAACCATAAAAAAACGACCCGAGAAAAAGAAGTAAAGAAATCTTTGTTCAGACAGTGTAGGAATTTTAATCATTAGTATATAAGATGTACCAGTAAGATACTTCCAATATCCCTAATAATTGTAATTGTTAAAATGTTAACATTCTCTTATAAAGAGTGGGTTTATGTAAGTTTTCTTTTGTACCAAACATTGTGTACCTGTTTAGGACAACTTCTTTCATAAAGAAGCTTTAACAATAAAACCGAGCATACAACATCTTCGTTCAGCCGGTGATAAGCACCATACATGCTGTAAAACCATTATTTAAACGCCATAAAACTAATGCGTGTCTACTCTATAGAAAGAAACATTAATGAGCCGCGCCATGACAAAACCAACGTAATGCGTTTGCGACCAGCATGGATCCAGACCAGCCTACGCATCCGCGCAGTCTGACCAGGATCCATGCTGTTCGCCTACAAACTCTATTACAAATAGAGACACTGATAGCGAGCAGCATGGATCCTGATCAGACTGCGCGAATGCGCAGGCTGGTCTGGATCCATGCTGGTCGCAAACGCATTACATTGGTTTTGTCATGGCGCGGCTCATTTATTTATCTCTGAGGAATATTGTACCTTTATGATAACTCGCCGAAACAGCGACAACAATTAAGAAGTACCAAATATCGAACATTTGGCATACATCGCACAGTCGTTTAAACTAGCACTTAATTAATACTAAAGATTTCTGAGTAGGTTATTCTTCTTTTTTTTCTTGAATGTACGTTGAATAGTTTACAACAACTCGTCTATAAGAAACCAACTCAAAATGTCACCCCATTAACTGAAGAACAAAAAGTTTGTTTGAGAAAAAATTCTGGAGAAAAAAAAACAAAAACTATTAACTCACGGTTTGTATCTGCTACATAGTACAACCATATGAATACATGACTTCATCTCTATGTTGTTAAAGCAGGATGACTATGTAATAGAAAGAGCATCGAAACACGAGGCTATCTGATTTGTACGAGGGGGGTGTAGCCCCCGAGTATTAATCAGATTGCCGAGTGTTTTGATGTTTATATGTACCTCATATATTGAGACCGTGAAAAATTACAATTAATAAATATTTCATTTTAGTAATTGGCTGTAGGAATGTTCCAAATCTATGAGGAATTTAACAAGCTAACTGAAATTCGCCGATTATCCTTTTTATAAAGATATTTCTTGGCCTTTGCTTACCCAGAATTAAAGTAGCGCGGTTTGTAAAATGAAAAAGGACTGTTACCAACCTACAAAGTCGCTGATTGTTTTTTTTGCCGCTTCGCCACTTAATATATAAGAACTAGAAAGTGCACCTTTCGTTTTTCTTAATACACACACAATTAATAATCATAATAATCCATAATCAAATGGTAAACAATTTGCAACGTGTTTACAAACTTGATCAATTTTAAACTTTCCATAGATTTAATCAGAAACCTGGAGCTGTGCTGTTTTAAATCTAGCCAAATAATCTATTAAAATAATATAGTAACAACGATGTCACCAATTGTATCGCCATCTAAGGCACTGTTCGTGTGCATTTTTGTTCATTCAGCAATTTTAGTTTTTATGAACATTTAAATTCAAGATCACATCCAAGAGTATGCTTTGTAAAAAAAGTCTTAATGTTTATACATCGTTTTACATCCAATAAATTTAATGTGTGACAAAAAAAAAACAACAACAACAACATTATACTGAACTTTAGTTTGAATAATTCTATCTCGGACGAAAAGTATTAATTTTCAAAGGGTTAGAATCGGTAGAATCTTTCAAATACATACTTATAAATAGTAAAATCTGAGGTTACTAGGATGGAGCATAATATTCGGAGAGATACAAATGAAATCGGACTCGGTGTTAATCGTCGACATGTCGAACTGTTAGACATTATGGCAAATATCGGAGAAGACGTTGTACAAGAAAAGCGTGATAGAGATAGATTATTGATCTACGGAATAAACGAAAGTGTTCCTGTTCATATAGCGATTGTATGTGCACTACAGGTATATATATCCTTGTGCTTGTAAGTTAAAATATGTAATGTTGAGTCTATATATAGATGTTCCGAAATTAAACTCAATTTGTAACACAGGGTACTTGAGGATTACGGTAAAATAGGGTTCTTCAGAAGGGGAAGTATAGATAAAAAAACATGTAAAGCACTTTTTTGAAGCTATTTTCACATGCTCACCTATGCGCGCCGACGATACATGCGTCGAGAGTTGAATTCGTGACTTTCAGTGCCTTGCTTCGTTCCGTGTTGGGGGTTAGGTCTTGCTGAAATTTGTTGGGGATGTAATTTTCCATCGTTTCTTCAGAAAACACCTTTAACTCTCAAGTATTCACAGCATTTCACTCCAGATTTAAACGAGTATTGGTACTCTTCACATTGCTGTTATTTCCATTTGACCCACGCCATGACAGAATCCATGCTGTTCGCTATCAGTTTCTCTACTTGTTACAGGGTTTGTAAGCGAACAGCATGGATCCTGATCAGACTGCGCGGATGCGCAGGCTGGTCTGGATTCATGCTGGTCGCAAACGCACTATGTTGGTTTTGTCATGATGCGGCTCGTTTTTTTCTTTCAGCAAGCGTTGCTAGCACTGTCTGGATCTCTGGTTGTATCACTGTTAGTTGCTGAAGCCGTCTGCGCTGAAAATGATCAAAATATCAAAGCTAAACTCCTCAGCTCAACTCTTTTTATGAACGGCATTACTACAGTGGCAATGAACTTGTTTGGAACAAGGTAAATTTAGCGTACGGTAATACTACAGTGGCAATGAACTTTTTTGGAACAAGGTAAATTTAGCGTACGGTAATACTACAGTGGCAATGAACATTTTTGGAACAAGGTAAATTTAGCATACGGTAATACTACAGTGGCAATGAACTTGTTTGGAACAAGGTAAATTTAGCATACGGTAATACTACAGTAGCAATGAACTTGTTTGGAACAAGGTAAATTTAGCATACGGTAATACTACAGTAGCAATGAACTTGTTTGGAACAAGGTAAATTTAGCATACGTTAATACAACAGTGGCAATGAACTTGTTTGGAACAAGGTAAATTTAGCATACGCGGTAATACTACAGTAGCAATGAACTTGTTTGGAACAAGGTAAATTTAGCTACATGGTAATACTTACAATAGTAATGAACTTATTTTGTACAAAGTGCATTTAGCAAATGGTATTGTGAACGTAGCAATATGTTTTATTTAAACAAGGTACACTTAGTAATTTGAACTGTTACAGTAGCTATAAACTTATTTTGAGAAAGGTGTATTTAGCATATAGAAATGTCACACTTGCAATAAATTGTTGGGTACAAGGTTCATTTAGAATATTGTAATGTCACAGTTGCAAAATACTTATTTTGAACAAGATTTGTTTTCACCATACATTCTAGATTTTTAACATAAATATAAGTGAACTAAACTTGATTATTATTTTTCAGGTTACCACTTTTTCAAGGCGCATCGTCTGAATATATTGTCCCCTTGTTACTTTTGGCAAATGACGGGAGTACATTTTGTTCGAGCGTCAAAACTGAAAGAGGTTAGAATTTGAGTTTCAATTTATATCAGTATTGGCTATGTAAAATTTCACATCGACATTATCATGATCATTTTATAAAACAACGTTCTAGTTTTGATGGAGGAGTAGAGTAACAAGTGCCAGTACATGCTTTGTGTATAGGAACTCCACTGAGGTCCAAAAAAAAAATAATAACATAAAAATCTATTTTTTTCATAGATCAGCTTGGGCAGTTCAAACAGGAAGATATGCAAAAGAAAATTAGCAAATACTCGGAAATTAATTGAAAAAATATGAAAATCGTATTGTTGTGCTATTCTTAGATTTGAGTGAAAAGCGTTGCTAATTTACTTTTATATTTTACAACTTGAATAATTAATCTAGTAAAAAAAGAGGGAGCAAACAATCTAAAATTTTGAACATGAATTATTGGTCTAAATCTACATTAGATGGAACTTTAATCTAAAAAAATAAATATTTCCAGTCAAAATACCTCAGCGGAGTTCCGTTTAGTTTGAATGATTAATTAACTGTGTGCCTGTCATCTAGCTTCGTCGTGTAGTAATTGGCGTCCATTTACGGGGTCGAACACAGGCAGCAACTGGTGTATGTCTTTCCTGTTATAACATACTATATTGGTATAATGTTACATGATGTTGCTCGGTGCTGTTGCGTTGATTAACTACTTATTTCTCGGAATCTTCCAGTTACAAAATACTTATGTCATACTTACGAAAGAGCAATAGGCCAACTATTAACTTAATTGGAGAAGTTTTTCCAAGAAAATTGCTAGTTTTATGCACAGTCAATTAATATTAAAATGCGGACTCGTGTGATAATATATTTGCGATATTGTATGTCACATTTTGTACCTGATAAAAAATGTAATCGTCAATTTGAAAACGAACAATAACGTTTTTATGAATATAATATACGGATATTATCGGATATGTTGTTAAGAAAAGCGCATATGGTACGATTAAGATACTCTTAATTCCAAGACCTAATTATAACTGCAACAACAAAGAAAAGCCATCTAATTAAGCACTATCTACCCCCACCCCCCCCCCCCCCCCCCAAAAAAAAAAAAAAAAAAAAAAAAAAAAAAGGGACATTACATTAACAAAAACAAAAAACATAGAAAATCGTACAGATACTGTTCTCTGAGATGGGAAAATGTATGACAATTATGTAAAACAAAAAAACAAAAACAAAAAAAACAACCATAATCTCTATGTAATCACGAAAATCGCCGACTGTCCTTGTTTAGAGAAATGTTTCAGAATATTAGTGTTTTTTTACAGCCATTGAAAGGAACATAACATCAAACCGGACAGAGGCACAACATGAACAGCTAGTTTACTCTAACATACAAGCGGTAATATTTATACCATTTTTTTCTTTTCTTTTTTAAGAAAACAAGTTAATATTTATGACACAGTTTTATCAAAACCATCTGAATAAAAAACGAGTGCGATAGTTTCATTTATTGCGTACTTTGAAAGTTCTGTTTAGAAAAAATGACATATTGTCCGCGTCCACATTTAATATGAAAATGATAAAGTTTGAATTAATTGAACTTTCAGTGCATTAGTGTGTCACTTTCTCACGTCTCTACATGGAAAACCAGATAGTAAAATACTTTTAAATAATTCAATAGTTTTGCTTTTTAAGATAACTTGTTTATACATTTTTAAAGATTTCTTTTCAACATATTCAGTGCAAACCCATTTGTTGTAGAATTTTATTATGTGTGATACTGAGAAGTAAATTATGATGTTTAATGTGTAAATTATTAATGTGTTTCCGTGTTTTAAGTACATTAGCGGCAGTATATACATATACCAATAGTCATATTATCTGGGGGGGGGGGGGGGGGGGGGGGGGGGGGGGGGGGGGGGGGGGGGGGGGGGGGGGGGGGGGGGGGGGGGGGGGGGGGGGGGGGGGGGGGGGGGGGGGGGGGGGGGGGGGGGGGGGGGGGGGAGGGGGGGGGGGGGGGGGGGGGGGGGGGGGGGGGGGGGGGGGGGGGGGGGGGGGGGGGGGGGGGGGGGGGGGGGGGGGGGGGGGGGGGGGGGGGGGGGGGGGGGGGGGGGGGGGGGGGGGGGGGGGGGGGGGGGGGGGGGGGGGGGGGGGGGGGGGGGGGGGGGGGGGGGGGGGGGGGGGGGGGGGGGGGGGGGGGGGGGGGGGGGGGGGGGGGGGGGGGGGGGGGGGGGGGGGGGGGGGGGGGGGGGGGGGGGGGGGGGGGGGGGGGGGGGGGGGGGGGGGGGGGGGGGGGGGGGGGGGGGGGGGGGGGGGGGGGGGGGGGGGGGGGGGGGGGGGGGGGGGGGGGGGGGGGGGGGGGGGGGGGGGGGGGGGGGGGGGGGGGGGGGGGGGGGGGGGGGGGGGGGGGTGGCAATTTATTTAGTGCCAATATTCATTTATGCATGTGAAAATTTCTGAAATTCGCCACGAATAATACATTTAAAAAGATTTATATAATTATATATTTTCTCTAATATTTCCATCCGGTATACATGTAGCTATATTTTATATATTTTTTAGCTACAAGGCAGCCTGATGTTGGCGGGTTTTATACACGCCTTCCTCGGTTTTACCGGACTGATCGGTGTCTTGTTGCGATATATCGGACCACTGACTATAGTACCAACATTGATGTTAATCTTCATCTTTATCGTTAAACCTGTCATCAATTTCGTTCAAGAAAGTTGGCCCATTGCTCTTTCGTAAGTATGAATTAAGAATATAAATTTTGTTCTACAAAGCTCATGTTGTAAGGGCGCATTTAGTTTGAATTAGATTTTAATGGTGCATATTTTTCTACAGTATATGAAGGTCTATTTAACTTAATTAGAGAAGTTTTCCCCACAAAATTGCTGATTTTATGCACAGTCAATTAAAATGCGGACTCGTGTGATAATATATTTGCGATTTTGCAAACCTATTGCAGTACGTTTTTGTCATCATTACATTTGCCATATTACATGGCATGATCACTTGGGGAAACGATTTAATTCTTTCTATCTATCAGTACTGTTTTCTTTTAAAAAATAAAAATAGCGTTAGCACACTTTATCAACAGGGTGGCAAGTGGCAACAGGGGAGTGGGGCAATGGCGGTCTCTTATTTAACTGTACAATAATACGATATACTTTCAGGACAGTTGCTTTAGGAGTTATACTTTCCCTGTATTTAGCCAAACACAACGTGCCTATACCTGTGTGGACTCCGTCCGGGGGCTTTAGGGTGATCCGATACCCTATACATCAAGTGTTCTCTGTAAATATCCTATTTCAAATTATTTTGTGGTATTATTGAAATGCACATAATGATACAAAAATAATTAATTTAAATAATAACATTTAATAATTGTACAAAACAAATCATAATCTTAAAAAAACTAATTAAATAACATTTAGGTAATTATTGTCGAGTTTGCTGCATTTCGTCAAATTTCTTACTAAATGATTTATAAATCTTATATACATATATCCTTCAGATTTTGATATCAATACTGTTGAACTGGGGACTTTGTGCAATCCTCACCTCAGCTGGTGTCTTCCCTGACGACCCTAAGGCTATTGGCTACAAGGCTAGAACAGACGCACGCAATGACGTCATAAGGGACAATCCATGGTTCAATATTCCGTACCCTGGTAATTAAGTTGATCCATTCAAAGGTTTAGGAGACCAATTAGCAACGTTGTTGATTGTTTAATATATATCTAATTTTGAAAATGAATTTAAACAAAAGATACACGAAATTGAATCTTTTTGTAAATAGAATAATCCTTTTAGTTACAAATTAATGGTATTGGTTATTCTAAAATTAAACACGTTGTATTGTGGTGTCATACATACAATAATAATTATCATTCCATTACGTCATAGGACAATTTGGACCAATCAGCTTTAGCGCTGCAGCTCTCATATCATTCCTCATTGCCACCTTGATATCCGTTCTCGATTCTATCGGTGACTATTACGCATGCGCAAGAGTATGCCGGGTACCTGCTCCTCCGAGTCACGCAGTGAATAGGTAATTAACTTCGTTTCAATAAAATTTACTATATTAGATACATTATACATAAAAAGTCAACCAAATAATTTTGAGTATGTGAATAGTTCACTTATTGATAAGTAAAAACTTCTAAATTGAACTTAAAATTTTGTTGTCGTGAATTAGTTAAATGGCAGGAACTTATTAAAATTGTGTTGTTAAATTTTACTGTCAAAGGAATACATATTATACGAGTATTACTATTACTTATTCTAATCAAAGCACTGAATGTACTGATGGGGAGGCTATGAGAGAATGTTTCAGACTTATAGTGTCTTTTCTTTTTGCTTAAAATATGCTACCAAAATAAAAAAGATATGCACATTGCGCTATTTATCCTTACTGTTGTGTTCAACCATTCATATATATGGTTAATGTGGTTGACTATTCATTTTGTTAATATTCCAGAACATTTCATTGAGGTCTACATTCGGACTGTTAATCATACAAATTTTGAAAAACCTAAACTGTCAATAATAAATGACATACCAGCAAGTATGACGACTGTTCATTATCAGATAACAATAACATTTTACAACTGACGGTTCCTTATCAAAATCACAGGAACTTGAAATTCTATCAAATAACCAATATTAATTATAATATCCAAATATACCCCCTATATACTATAAAAAAACACAAACACAGGAACTTGAAATTCTATCAAATAACCAATATTAATTATAATATCCAAATATACCCCCTATATACTATAAAAATTTTTATAGTATATAGGGGGTATATTTGGATATTATAATTAATATTGATTATTTGATAGAATTTCAAGTTCCTGTGTCAAAATATTCTAGGACTGTTCATCATAAATACTTTATGTCATTTTAATATTATTGAATGATAATAACAACTGCAAGTGATGCAACATTTTTATTGAACATAAAAATTATACACGTTTAGATGTACCATAATTTAGATCAATAAGATACTGTCTTGTGATGAATATTAATATTCATGCTCTACGGACAGAAGGTTGTCTTCTCCAGAAGCAAATCTCGAATAAAATCACGTTTCAGAAAATTATTCCCATTTCATTACTGACGGCGTCGGATAATATTAAAGCTAAATATATCTTGAAAAAATACATATCTGCAAAGCTTATTCAAAACTGAATCAACCTAAGTGAAAATTGATCAGGAAGTTATATCTTCTTTTTTTACCGCCAACCTGGGATGTACTATAACGTATGTTCCAGCGCCAACACTCAACCAACTAATGGTAGTTAATCGATAGCTTGTGTATTTTTAAACCTCACTAGCTTGAAATATATACTGCGGAAAATCTGTTGTTAACAGGGTGTGCGGTTATTACGTAGGGTTTTCCCTGTCGACCATTTCCTGCAAATAGATGAGAACACCGAAGCCGTCAGTGCTATGAATGATGTTATAAATGGCGTGTTTTGGAAGTTTTTGTTGAAACTTCTCCAATTTCCTCGAGAGGCGTGCACGTCGCGGAGAAGGCACACGGAAGGACATAGTCAAGTCATCATAAGTACCAGAGGTGATTGGTTGACCTGTCGTGACTTACTCTGGAGGTTTGGCGCTAATAGATGCCGTTTTTGTTGTCGTCAGTCAGAAAGTTGATGCCTTGACGGTATTGTCGTCTCCTTTACCACCAAAGAACGAAGAATGGGCTTCCAGGAAGAATCTGCTTGAAAAAGACGTCCCAGATGCTATAATCTCGGACATATGGTTATTCCGGCGCCGAGTATAAATAAACTTAAAACACACTGAACAACAACACACTCAACAACAACAACAACAACAACAACACATTTTCTGTAGTAATTTTTCAAGTGTTGTAAAATGAATAAGAAATTCCTCTTATGCCGCCGATTATTTTTAGAACACAAACATAAAAGTTCTTTTTTTTATTTTTCAAATAAACATTAATCACTTCAGCGCGCGCAAATATCGTTTTCAAATTAAAGTTTCGTAAGATATGTTAATGACTTCCCGATGCTCGACTGTAAGTAATTTGTATATGTATGCGTTTTTTTTTGTTTTTGTTTTTTTAATTAAAGCTTCTTATTCTTTAATATTTTTTATGTATCTCATAATCTGTATTGAAAATTTGAATTTTATTACACATGGACTATCAAATTATGATGTATGCCCTAGAATTGAATAAACTTTCTAATTACACAATACGGGGTCATACTGATCTTTGCGTCTTTCTCTGAAATAATTATTTCTTTGTTAAAACATATTTGACCACATATTTCTGTCAATTAACTGTACTTCCGATTTTTGTTGTACGGAAACACATGTTTCTATTTGTGTTTTCTAATCAATTCGAATCTATAATCAGTTTAATGGGATCACCACCGGGTAAACGACTACTAGGTACTTTGGTCATGTTTTATACCCCAAATATTTGAATGTTTCTATTGGGATTAAAATGAGCATAGTTAAGTAAACAACTGGTTGTATAAATCCCAGACCTGTCTAATTCTAATTATGAGATCAGTGAATATATAAGACTTTCACTACAAAATATTCCTAAACAAAAGAGCACATGTTTAAATTTATTCCTATACAAATAAAAGATCAGAGTAGGGATCTGTCAATTGCCAAATATACTTTTATGTTAAAAGTTTGATTAATGAATTATGTAAGATGAAAATATAAGTATTGCTTTTTTATTTTGCTAATGTAAAATGTAATATTGTGCTGGAATTTTGTCGGAAGGTCCTTATAGGGGTTTTGTAGTTAAATAGTTTTTTTTCGGCGATAATGGTTCAAGAATATAATGTTTCAAACTATATGCTCATCACCATCAGTGAATTTTTAGTTAAATGTATGCAAAATATTTACTAACAGCTATGATATAGCGGTTTATGACCGTTTTCCGCGTACAGCCTCCTGGGGTGTACTAATAAGTTAGTTTTCCTTAGTTATCACGCAAGCATGATCCATGTCTCTGATGTAAGCGACAGTTTACAATTATTTGTCTTTAAAAAATATTAAGGACTTTTAATGGTTTATAACAACAAAAGAACATGCATGATATTGAGAATACGGCATTGTATATACACCGGTCTCAAATATCGTCAGTAAGACCGGTGTACACAATGGAGAATACGGTGTTGGAACGTTCTAGTTAATGACCCGTCATAAACAGTTGGTCGCTGCGTAGTAATTGGAAAATTGTTATCAAGAATAATAAAGAATATTTGCCACTAAATTAAAGCATTTACTTACAAATTTTCATTTATGCTTTTTGTTAAAAAAATATTGATAAAGTTATTATTTTGAAGGGTTTTCATACCAGAACTATTTATTACAGACGTACGTAAACCTGATTACCGCGGCAGTATGACGTCACGGAGTAGTGATTTAAACAAAAATCAAGAATTTTTCAGAGAATTAATATCTTTACAAATTGCAGATATGAAATTAAAGAATGAAAATATTTTCATATTGTAAATGTCTGTGATGAGTGATGAGTCAGCTTAGAAAAGATCAAGGTACTATTTTTTGACCTGATTACCGCGGCAGTGACCTGATTACCGCGGCAGTAAGATTTGACGAACAGTTATTAACATTGGGTCGGCATAGCCTCCCCAAAAACAGCAAACATATAACTAATAAATGGTATTCCAGGGGCATATTGATTGAAGGTTTCTGCAGTCTTCTGTCAGGGGCTGTTGGGTGTGGTCATGCCACGTCGACAAACGGAGGATGTTTAGGGGCAATCGGTGTTACAAGAGTAAGCGCATACAAATCAATCATTGGCCTTGTAACGGCGACTTACTCTACCCAGAGACCAATGTGGACCAATAAATGCCGCATGGTTTTCAGTCATAACATATTTTGAAATCGTCCCTAAAGTAATCAAAGGGCTGCAAGCTCTGTGGTATTTTCTGATCCCTGCAATCTAAATCGTACTGTATATCTGTATGTGTTTTCCTGTATTTGTTTATTTTTATGTACTATAAGTCATCTTGCAGGGCACCAGAGTTTGATACATACGGAATTTTGCATAACTAGAGTTGCATCAAAAAATAATTTATGTTCATTTTTTATGATAGCCACACTTTATCCTTGCATATCGGGGCTATGTCCTTAACAAAGACACTAAAGAAAGGAATAAAAAAAAAATGTTGACTCGACTGGGATTTGAACACCTCTCACACACTAAACAAGCGCGTTACGCCTGCACCACGGAGAAGTTTTAGTATCAAAGCTGAATAATATCAAGTCATTCTAAATTTAGAATTTCCATTGCATTTCGGGTTAAGGTAATTTCGAGGTATTTTGTTCAGTTTAAACCTGTTGTTTAAAATTGAAGTAAATAATTCAGCAAAAATCTTCTCGCCCAAACAATCCAACATGTAGAATCTATATATTCCATTACTCGGCAGCCAGATTTATTTGTGTAGTATTTGGTAATCGAAATCGCTAAAATTAGCATGTTCATTGATTAAAATCATATTCATCCGCGTAATTTGTGAGTGTGCATTTATTGACAAATCTATAAGCCAACGCTACTTTAAAAGTTTGAAGATGTAGTAATTTGTTGGACACTTGTAACAAAAAATTGTTATTTCTTTTAAATTGCTGGTTTTTAAGCAGTTTTGAGTGAGAACTAATTTGCGTTGTTAGGACTGTTAGGAAATGTTGTGTTAGACCGTGGATGTTAGCTATGTATTCTCTGATCTGCGATCAGAAAATACAATAAATGGTTTTGACCAGATTGAAAGATGAACAAATTTATTTCAGATTCTTAATTTTCATTTACTACTATCAATTATGACTACATGTATCTTTAAAAAATTGTCTTGGATCGATTAGAATAAATATTGTTAAATATGGTCATTTCAATGAATGTTCTTTTGTTTTGTTGAAGGTTGCAAGTAGACAAGTGTTTGTAGTCTGTGGTATATTCTACATTCTTTTTGGAATATTTGGGAAGTTTTCGGCCATCTTCGTTACAATACCATATCCGGTCCTAGGTGGCGCTGTCATCGTCTTGTTCGGAATATTCTTCGGTGTGATTATATCTAATTTGGAGGTAAATTTATTATCACATGGAAACAATGGGAACTTTGTCATGGTTAAACTTATGAAAATAATCATTAATTTTACATGGTGATACATCAAATGAAAACATACTTTAAAATGTCCACCAATTAGAACAAAACATCTAAATATAAAGTTAAATGTAGTTTAATGTCTCTGATTTAAATAGCTATTTCAAATCGAACAACAACAAAACTAACTAATAATTTTCAGAATATTTTCCAACAATATCAATATTTTTTAGTTGGTTTGCTTATAATTTATGGTCTGAAAGTCACTGTTTTGTGAAATGAATGGTGAAATACATGCCATATACATGCTGATATAACATTTATGTTGATAATACATTATACTGTAGCCTGTGGACCAACATGTTCTTTCTTTCGATGATTTTGCAACGTTTGTAGACAAGACTGGTAATCTTGAATTCACAAAATACGTGTATCAATAGTGATGTGTTTCTTTACATTGATTACACCGATATTGACTATTGAGTTGTCATTTTGTTTCATGGAGACATTTTTTTTCTTTCTTGTAAAATGTTTCATATATACTCTTTTCTTTTCAATGCGCTCAAACAAAGGGAATTTTTTTAGTCATGATAGGGGGCGATGCCATTTGAAATAGGGATTTCGGCAAGGAAACACATATATGCCTGCAATTTGTTAGAAATCTATAGTCTATATATATTCATTTGAGAAACTGTACATGATACCTTTATTTATTATATACATAAAATACATATTTTCATGTTAAGGTTACTAAGATGGGATCATCACGTAATATGGCTGTATTAGGACTATCCGTGTTTATTGGATTAACTATACCTACCTGGGCACAATCTAAAGACAAACCAGTAGACACAGGTATGATATACGTATTTCTCTGCACATGCTGAACAGGCCCACTTATGGTAATTTTTGAACAATCAATTGAAAATTAAAAGGGTTAAATTTTGGACAATTAATTGAAAATTAAAAGGATTTCTATGCCAACAATACAAAAAAGAGCTACCACCAATGTAGAGCCTGACATACTGTATGGATGTACAAGATGGCTTGGCTTTATACTGGTGGCAAAGACATCACTTTCTGTATCAGCAGGCTCCGGGTTAAAAGTGAATGTTAACCACGTCGATAAAGAAAACATTTGTTTATGTGTTTGATCGTTTCATCTTTGAAAATAACAAGTTTTCCTTATCACGTACATTTATTTTTTGTATATATAATTGATTAACATTGTAACATTGTCTACATTAAGCCGCTTCAATATTTCATTAAATAACATTTTATTGACTAGTATTTTGATAATTATGAATAATTATGATCATGCATTATTATCTTTTAGATACACGTGAAATTTACATGTATTTATTTTTATAAATATTCATCAAGATTTTACCAGTCTCATGAATATTCATTTACTCCGTTGTAATTATTTAGTGAATATTCATTTGAATTAAATTGCTCTATTAATTGAATGTATATTTTTTTTAAAAAATGCGCGTATGGTACACTGTCTAAAAAAAACCCAATGTTTAAATTTTAAGAATACTTTATATTCTAGATTGATAATTTAGTTATATATTTTCGAATTATGCGATGATTTTAAAGTTCAAAGGGAGATAGCATATGTGGGTACATTTGAAAAAGAATAAAAATGAGTCTTTTCCCTTTACAGCGGATAAAGGATAATTTTTTCTTGACAATACTGTCCCTGGTAAGTTAAAAAAAAAACTAGACCAATAATGAATTCATGCATTCATAATCATACTTTATTCATTCAGTGAATTATTTGAATATTTTGGGGTTTTTTTTTCTTCTTCAGGGGATGAAGGCGTTGACAACATATTATCAATGTTATTGTCCAACCCCAACTTAATTGGAACTCTGTTGGCATTTTTTCTTGACAATACTGTCCCTGGTAAGTTAAAAAAAAACTAGACCAATAATGAATTCATGCATTCATAATCATACTTTATTTCTGGATTTATGGCAGCAATACGTTATCAAGCAATCGAATTATTTATAAAATTTGTAGAAATATAACTTAACTGAAAAAACGTCTCTGCAAATTAAAACAGAAGTGTAATTTTATTTTCCTAATTATTCTTATGAGATAACTACATGTAGATCTAAATAGTTCAGAAAATTTCACTGAAGCACTACTGTATGTGAAATTAAAACTTGAATTTTATTAGGAATAGATATTCCTGGCTTTGTCGCTTTTATTTAAATCGATTGATTAAACTGAGACTGTATTCAAATTAGAATTATCCGTGGACGCAGTTAAAATATATGATGGCATTTTACTAACTCTCTGACGTCGAATGTGACGTCATTTATTTGCAAGCATTATATCTACTTGGAAATTGTTACTTCTTTTTCTTTAGTGATTATGAACATGCCGGAAAACTTAATAATACTTACAAATTGGTTTTACAAATCAATAATTTTTTTTCTAGTTTTCTTTTATTTTTTTAACCCCATCTGCCTTCAAATCATAGCTAACAAATAACAAGAAGAACGGACGTGACGCTGCGAGTGAACGTCAGTTCGTTTTACTACGGCTTTGTCTGAACGCATTTATAAAAATGGGAAATGAGCAAGAAACACTTATTTTTGTTCTCTCTTTATTTTCGACATATTTAAATTTTCCAAATAAAAAGCAAATTCTAGCTATCTGTTTTTGAAATGTATAAATTAAGTAAACTATATGAGCCGCGTCACGACAAAACCAACATAATGGGTTTGCGACCAGCATGGATCCAGACCAACCTGCGCATCCACGCAGTCTGATCAGGATCCATGCTGTTCGCTATCAGTTTCTCTACTTGTTAAAGGGTTTGTAAGCGAACAGCATGGATCCTGATCAGACTGCGCGGATGCGCAGGCTGGTCTGGATCCATGCTGGTCGCAAACCCACTATGTTGGTGTTGTCGTGACGCGGCTCATATGATATTATATGGTTTAGGAACTCGTGAAGAGAGAGGAATCTTAGCATGGCAAGTGCCCCAGGATACGGAGACAGTCGAAGTAGATCCGGAAATGTACGACGAGGGATATGAAGTGTATGAACCCTTAGTCCCTAAATCGTGTTTGAAATGGAAGGTCATGAAGTATATACCTTTTCTACCATACCGGCCAAAACAAACGGACTAAAACATTTTTATAGTGACGTCAAATCAGTAAAGAAATACTACCAACCAAAGTGATTTCGGCATTGATATAAACCAACGTGTTATGAAAACAAATAATGAAAATGTGGACATCACATTAGTATATTAATGGTACAAAATAAATTTGTAAATTGTAATTGATTGCGGACTGGAGATATTTTCAGCAATTTAGATATACATGTAACATGAATTGTATTATTTGATAAACTTGTGTGATGGATTCGCCCAAGTTTGAATTTGGAACATCCAGGTTAGAAATATTTATCATTTCAATAGCAGAATAGGTAAAAAAGGTAGAACAAGAATGGAAACTGTGTAATACAAAGGTCGAAATTGAAAAAAAAAAGAAAAAAAGAGAGAGATTGATCTGACGTCACATTTAACATAATATGTGTAAAAGTCAATATCATACTGTGACTAAATATTTGTATCGCTGCTAAAAAAGCAAGTGCCTGTTTAGTTTGTATCTCACTGCCTCACTCACAAGTATCTATATAAATACACTATTTTGTTATCATATTATATGTATACATAAATAAATATTTTTTTCATTTATTATGACTGTGCATTTTTGTCTTCTTCAAACTAAATGAAAACATGGATGTACATTACAAACATATGTTCCTGGTGTAAACAAATAGATATTAGCCTACCACCATTCGGAACTGCCTCGGCTATTATCTAAAATAACCTCGGAAACAATACGGATTGAAAGTAGTTCTACCACGTGGTTTTAGATGTAAACAGAAACAGAGATACTGTGAAACGAATGTATATATTTGACATCTAATGTCTGTTCCGGTACTCTTATGCTTCAAAAATATGTCTGTTAACAATTTGTAATTTAAATATGCCCACTGATGTTCAATTTCAAAAAAATCCGACTATATGTCAGCAGGTTGGTTTTTTGTACTTTCGGTTTCTACCGCCATAATAATAAATATATAAATAATGTATTGTTTTCTTTTTAACCTATGAATTCACTTATTTTAGGTGGACTTTAACTACATATATTGGAAATAAACTTGTCAACACCTCCCAGCATTAAATTACTATTTGTTTACATGTTTAGTTTCTTAGCGTAGGTTAGACCGAAATACTGCATCCGTTCTGTGTATTCAGTGTTCGAGGTCCTTATCTGACGGAAAGGGCCGAGTAGTTGCGATTGGCCCACCACATCGTACGAAAAATCTTTCACGTTGCACCGTTTCCGTCTTTTTAATGTCCTGTTAGAGACATTTTGGGTGATCATGAAATCATTTTTACGGTCATTCGTACTGTACATCTGCTCTGGCATGTACAGAATTTATTAGCTCTTCACCAAAGTGTAGGGATTAGACCTGGTAAACGGCTTGACAGCTACCGAGGAACAATGTAGTGGCTGAACGGTGCTCTGGGGAATTCAAAGTGGCCTACTGCCGTATTCTCGGTAGTAAACTACCGCCACCACCTTTTTCGTTTCTGACATCGACCTTATTCAAGGAGGAGGAACTGTTACACGAGGAGTGGAGTTCTTATGATAACTTGTCTGGAGTTTTAGTGATAACTGTCACGGAGTTTGTTGGAAAACATTTGTATACACTACAAAAACACACGTCAAAAATCTGTGAAAAGTGAGTTTTAGGTGCTAAAGTATTCATTCAATCAATGATAACCGTATGAAACAAGCAATTATCATAGTTTTGCGAGCAATCCATAAGTCCCCTATCGGCCAGAACCCCTGCAACATTCTGAAGGGCCATTGAACTATCCCATTGAATTAATAAATAATTAGAATGAACTGAACTCTTTTGAGTTTTTAGTTTGTCTATATCTTAGTAATTTGTTAAGTTTCCCTGCCTAGTAATGAAATTATGTTTATACAAGAGATAATCAGAAGATCCAATTTTCTCAGGATGAATATTTATAAATAATGTTTCGACTTCTTTTTATTTTAAGTAATTTGTTGGAAAGTTCTTTAAAAGTAATCTCAGAAAGTTTTTAGAAACGGACAGACAGAGAAACTGACAAGACACTCCTCTGAGGGTACATGTTTACGGACGCTAGATTTATAATCCTTGTCATAATATTATGAGGTTGGAGTTTAATGTAAATGCTATAAGAAATGAAGCAGTCTGAGTAACAAATAATAGTTTCTAGAAAAAAATCTAAGTCAAAGGGGGATTCTGGAAATAGTCAAGCTAGTGTATTGAATCTTCTCCCAAATGATTTGAGTGATAATAAGACACATATATATGAAGAGTCAAGTTGATACATTAAGAAATAAAGAAGTTTTAAAAAATCATCTTTTTTCATGAAAACTTTAAGTTCAAGGTGGGAAAATTCTGATAATTTTTGTGCTAGAGTTGTAAACCTTGTCACATATGATGTGGTTGATGATAAGAAACATATATTTGAAGTTTGAAGTAAATATTTTAAGGAATAAAGAATTTATAGTGAAAAAGCGTAAAAAACTTGAAATCTTGACAAGGTGGCTGACCCTCGGTGAGAAGGACAGCTCTCAATATACTCCCTATAGTAAAAATAAGAATGATGTGTAATCTCCATAATGCCATCTATCCATATTTAGACTTTCATAAAAATGATTTCACTACTTTTTGAGTAATCACAAATTCTGTTGTATTTGCATTATTTTGAAGCTATTTGTTGCAAAGCAACCGATTTTTTCAACATAGGAAGACAAGAAAAAGAGGATCAAATCACCAGACTGCCATCTATCCATATATTAAGTTTCATAAAAAATTCAGTACATTTTGCGTTATCGTGGGATCCAGTTTTGTGGACGGACGGACGATTAAACCTGCAGGGGACTAATAACAAAGTAATACATCCGAGGAACACAGATGGGCGCCGCCATTGAACAGTCAGCAGCATAAGCACTGCTGGGGAGTTTAAACCGATTAATGGTGCACCAAACCTTACTCTTAACCCCACCATGTTCCTTTAAAATGATAAATAAATCCCCGCCAATGAAATTTATGAACAGTTGTTATGGTTACAAAAGGTGAAATAAATAAAACGTAGCAATGATCATGTAGAACATGTAAAAACTAAACCCAATGACCATAACCAAAGTACTCAATGTCCTAAAGGAAGACAGAGCAACGAGAAAATCACGTACAAGGGCCCGACGAAGCAAGACAGAAGACGAACAATAAAACAAATCAGTCCCAAAGGGCTTTAAGAACTGTCCATCATAGAATCTCCCACCACTTGGTCCGTCAGATGTTATCAACAGAGGAAGCCTGTGCTTTGGGGGTGGATGGTAACTTGCACTTCCAATATCGTCAATGAACAGGACAAGCTCAATCAAACAGAGTCCGCAACATTATTAAATTTGTTGTTTTGAACGTTATTTAGAGGTTCTTTTTTCTCTATTTCGTTGTCATATCAGTGTTAATTGTGGCGTATCCAGACCGTAAAAATGTCGCACCGTACATATAATCAAAGATTATATTAAGTTGAGTTTTCGATTCTTGAAGATCGTTCGGAGAAACTCAAAACAAAGTCTCTTTCATAGCAATCATAAAATCAAAGGGCTGCAAGCTCTGTGGTATTTTCTGATCTTTGCAATCTAAATCATACTGACTATCTGTATGCATTTTCCTATATAGGTTTATTTTTATATGCTATAATTCATCTTACGCAGCGACTGCGTTAAGATTTTTTTTCTATAACAGCTTGAGATTGATACATATGGAATTTTGCATGACTAGAGTTGCATCAAAAATCATTTTTTATGACAGCCACACTTTATCCTTGCATATCGTGGCTACTTCCTTAAAAAAGACACTTCAAAAAAAAGTTGCCTCGACTAGGATTTGAACCTTAGGCCTCTCACACCCTAAACGAGCGCGATACGAGCGCGATACCCCTGCACCACGGTGAAGTAATACGTAATATGTAGCCTGAATAAAAACAAATACATTGTACTTCTAAATTGAGAATTTCCATTTCGTGTAATCCTTATCAATTTCGAGGTATTTTGTTCACGATAAACCTGTTTAACACTGATAAAAATAATTTAGCGAAAATCTTCTCGCCAAAGCAGTCCGACATGTATATATTCCACTACTCGGCAGTCAGATTTATTTGTATACTACGCCCTGGAGTATTCAGTAATCGACATAGCTAAAAATAGCATTTTCATTGATTAAAATGATATTCATCCGCGAAATTTGTGATTGTAACCTCATATTTCTATTGGCTAATCTGAACTTTCAATGCACTGTAATTCGTTAAATGCCTACATTAAAAATTATTCTGTCTTTTAAATTGCTGGTTTTCAAGCAGTTTTGAGTAAGAACTACATGTACTTTGCGTTGTTAGGTCTGTTAGGAAATTTTGTGTTAGACCGTGGATGTTAGCTATGTATTTACTGATCTTGCGATCAGAAAATACAACAAATCGGCGACCAGGGATGCACAAGTAGTACCCATAGGAATTTTTATGATTGTTTTCAATAGGATATTACTAAACCTGACATAAATGTTGTCTAAATGAAATGAAAGTGCATAACCAACTTCGTCAGATTGCTTTACGATACATTTTGTACAGAAAACCTTTTAAGAATGACATGTAAGAACTTTTTTGCGTGCAAACGTTTTCTGAATAAGGGAAATTAGTTGATTATCAACTAAGTTGTGTGGCAGTGTACTGTAGTATAAAAGGTAAAAAATCATATGTACAAACAGTTGAAGCTTGATATTTTTTAATTTTGAATGTATTTTATAGACGAAGAGTTGTTTGCCTGTGTTTTCGTAGACGTTACATGTGTTTTAATGGCAGTCATACAAGACGCCAATAAAATAGAAAGCTAACTTAAGCTTGTAGTGCAAGAGGTAGAATTTAGCGGTGAAACTTAGTTTGTAAATAAATGTAGATAAACTAACATAGGAGCGTCTTCCTTTAACCCAGGTCACAAATGAACTTGTCATCGCACTTTCTTTGCTCTTTAAATAAATTTTAGCCATTGTATTAAACCCATTGTAAAAAATGTTACACCTCAGCATGTAACAATTCCACATCAACTGCTAACTAATTAACCGATGTTGTCTCTTCCCTAGCTAAAGGTTAAGTAGGCGGGAAAAAAACAATGGCAAAAATAGGGATCAAACCATAGACCTCTCATATACGAGGTAATCACATAATCGACTATACTACAATGTATTGCGACATTACGCTAGTGTGACATTAATTCTCGTAAAATATACGGACAGAACCGAAGTTGGATCGAATATTTAAAGAAAAGATTTATAAATAATTGGCTAAATTGTATTAAATGACAAGGAAGTCGACTTGAATTTACACTATGTAGTGTTTGGTTCAAGACCGAAGTCTTTAGTTAAATGTAAAGGCTTGAGCCTTATTGTACTGACCAAAGTGGTGCAGCACCCAACTGCTTGTCAATTGTGTATTTGAGTTTATTTATACTCGCCACCGGTTGCCTTCCTCCAGAAGAGTATTAGTCATTTTAGATTTTGGAGAATACAGAAAGACGCCCAATTCCAGAAGCTTCTCCTGGTTCTTTAGCGTGCC